ACAGACAACCTCTCGTCAATATGCGTTTTTTGCATTGCATAGCTGCAAAAAACGCATAAAAACTTGGCAAAGCTTTAATCATTTTGAAGTGCTATCTTGTGCGTGAAGCAAAACATCATTCCCAAACAAAAGCAATTGACAGAGCTGTAGACATTTCGTGAAGTGCCATCTCATTTGCCAGAAGCATTCCCACCTAATGTCGTAATACCTGGGACAGCTGACAGTTCACTGTTTGGATCTCCGTCTATGCGACTGGTATTTTTTCCATTTGCTTTGACGAGTGCTGTATCACTTTTGGTGATTAGATTGTTGACGATCGTGACGCGTTCATTTCGTCTCCGGATGAAATCACCTCAACACAAGTTCTGGTAAAAGTGTCTGTGACAAGGCTTTGGCTTTTTTGAGGTATCAAGTCGAGGTACCTTATAATGTAGATGATTTGCAATGAAAAATTTACCGAAATTGTCTAGGCAATGGTCAAACTTTGTGAAAAAATATCAAATGGTTGCCATTAAAAAGTTGGATTAACCTAATACAGAAAGATATAATTCATGGAGCAAATTGCCAGATTATCGATATGGCCATAAAAAGGGAGGGATAAATTCACAGTGCTGAATGCCAGATCCTGGGGATAAGCCATCAGTTAATTTCATTACTTATTCTGATTTTCTATTCGCTTTTCGGTGATGCATCTCTGGTACCTGCATGTGTTCCAAGGGATTAGACCGCGTTTGGCTTGCTTTTAAACTAGCTTGGGAACAGACCAATATCGATGGATAATTCCAGTTGACTAATTACTATCACCTGGGCCATATTTGAATCCTCAATCTTTAATGGGTTCAAAAAATAGACTTTCGAACTTGATTTCAGTTAAAGTGAGGATTCTCATCTGTGTAGTTTTGGAGTGCCCCCATCTTTGTTGTATTTAAGAGAGAGGACTTCAGATCCGAGGGGAATCCCTGAAATTGGAGGATTATCGTAGATCGTTCCGTGGTAAGTTGGTGAACTGTATAAGCCGAATGTAGCAACCAGGTTGACTCTTGAGGCCTAAATGGCGAGGACGCGACAGATTATAGCGTGGAAGAACAGTATTCGAGGAGATAAGAGTGAGATAAGACGTTTCGGCTCATTAAGTTATATGCGTCTTAAGTTAACACCGTGACGGGACGTGGTCAGTACGACGGTATAAGTTATTGTTTTAGTGGAAGAATTTGAGATTCACTGTAAAGTGTGAAACCAACAGCAATGGTACTTGCTTACAGGCTCCAAACACAAAACCATCGCCAACCTCTGCTGATGGGGCATCACCAACAACTCTTACAAAGGATGACATTCCTGCTGTTGATGCTGATGTGAAAGAGGTGGTGGAACAATCAACCACCACTGCTGCTACTGCAGCTGCTCCTACCGGACAAACCAATGGTGAAGCAAAAGAAGAATCTCCGGAAACACCGCGAAAAGATCCACGCGAAGATCCGATCGGCTGGATTAATTCACTAATTCCCGGTGCTGCTCATAAGGTAAGCTTGCGCTTCTCTTCTATTTTCACATTTAGCTTGAGAAAAAAAAGCTGCTCTTGGGGTTTGTTTTACAGATTGGATGAATCAGTTTTTTGACTCAAAAAATTTAACCTCTCTCGCATACCTGGCACGACTTTGTAGGGCTCGGGACTTCTCACGGCTCGTGCAAATTTTTGGCCTTTCTCAAGAAATTGAAAATCCCAGAATTTCTATGATCTCCGGGCGCGAAGAAACTGGAGCAGATGTTACACGAAGGGCCCCACCTGTTTACAAATTGACTCATTTTGCAGGCAAATTACAAGCTACTTGACTGGGCTCAGCAATTAGCGGTGGAAGATGGCGATAAACGGCAAACACTGCCTGGCAAAAATGATGCTGTTACGAAGAGTCAGTTTCTATCGTTCTTGCGTGATGGAACACTGCTGGCCAAGTTGGCCAATCGCCTGCAACCAGGCTCCGTCGAAACAGTGCACGAGGGCGAAGCTGCGAAAGAAAAGGCGAACCAAACATCCAATATCAATGCATTCATCAATTTCGCAAAAGAAAAAGCCGGATTAAGCGAGGAACAGGTCAGAAGTTCGTCTATCGACCCCACTGAAACTAAAGTAAACTAAAGCCTAAAATAACTCTAAACTAAAGTAACTCTAAAGTAGCAGCGCTACAACTCTATTCCTAGTTTCTTCATAATTCCTGGATGGGAGGGGATGCTCCTGTCCAACCCCCGTGTCCCCTTCTCCCCGAGGCGTCTGTCCTAGATTCATTTATACATCGATGTGCATCTTCGTACCATCGATGCAACTCGCCCTATGGCTCTGTTGGGAGTTGTAGCTGCTGGATCAGCTGTTGGTCAGTTTGCTGCTAGTAATCTTGGCTCCTGTTTCTTCGCTTTTTTTTCTTCACTTATCCGAAAAAATAGTTAGGCCTGCATTCATGTTGCAAAATACGTGGCCCATTACTCATCGATATAATGTCAGGAAGTCGAAACCTATTGTGCAGTTTTTTGACACTGCTACAATAAATCATTGAAAAAACCATAAAGTGCAGTTGACTTGTTTGAGGGTGAGAGGAAAAAGCCTCAAAAACTCCATGGCTAATTTTTATATTACTTTGGATAATCGTTGTGCTTGGCCAATTATTCAACTCAATTTCTTCGCAGCATTTTACATGCGAAGAAATTAAGTTGAGTAACTGGCACGATTTTACGTCTCTTCGCACGATTTTACGTCCCTTTCTGGTGGAGTTTAATAGTTTGCGTGTTTGAGCAAGCTGAACAACAACAATCACATTGCTCATTTCTTCCTTTAAAAAATGTTGCACTTCTTTCTTCGGATGCACTGGATAGGGGAAATTTTCCAGGGGGAAAAAAACGTTTTCCATTCAGTAAGTGTAATCTTATCTAGCAACTGGGTACATTTCCTTGTTTCACAAAGAAAGTTATTACACAGCAAATGCAATTGCTCCTCGTTGTCTTTATTCCGGCGAATTCTTTCAACTGGGCTTTATCCCTCCCCGCTTCCTCCTCCTTGCTAAGCTTGCGTCTCTAAAAAAATGTTACTTTGGAGAGAGAGAGAGA